GGACTGGGGGGGATGTGTGGGACTGGATGTGTGTGATAGGGGTGAGGATTGGTGGGAGCTGTGAGGCTGCATGTGTGTGACAAGATTGAGGGGAGATGTGGGGTCACCTCCATGTGCCAGGGCTCAGGATGGGGGGAGATGTGGGTCCACATCTGTGTGACAGGGGTCAGGATTGGGGGGAGATGAGGGCAGGGGGTACAGGAGGACATATTTCAGTCTGGAGATGAAAACCACACACCCAACCTTCCTAAGCGAGTAGGATGGGACCAAATCCCACTTTTATTTCAGTGCTCTAACAGTAAAACTTCTGCAGGAAGACACGGTTCGGGGAGAGAGGTTGGGAGTGTGAGGATGGGGGAGAGGATCTCTGCTTGGGGCTGCTACGTTTGTCAGTGTGGGAAGGGAAGTCTTGGGGCTCAAACTGGATTAAAAACCTGTCAAAAAAACCCCCAGGCAACGAGTTCTTGTATAATTCTTCCAGCAATCCTGATGGTAACTGTTTCACGGCTGAATCGTTGTACCTGTAAGAAGCAGGTAATGTGATTTGCGTTTTATATTTTTTAATTTATTTTTTTTTTTTTTAGGTAGTAATGTACAGTTGAAGTATTTGTCCCAAAAAGCAAATTATTTATGTTCCCATTTAGTGAAGAATTATGTGACAAGTTTTTAAGTGGGTGGCAGGAAGGAACTGTAGTATATTTTGGTGATGGAACTAGCAGAAAAAAGCATTGACAGGAGAGTTAGTTGGATAAATATTACCTATATTTACTGGTGAAAATAATCTGCTTTTTTTTTAGTACACTAAACATGACTCTGGCTAAAGGTAAACTCCATTTATAAAGGTTGTTTTGGGTGACTTTTTTTCTTTTTCTTTACTCTTGTGCTGTCTGAGAATCTTACTGTATAAAAGTCGACAGATTTTGTCATTTCTCTGTTATTACAGAAAATGACGCCAGAACAGAGTACAACGACTTCCCTCATCGACAGAACCATCCAGATGAGGAAGGAGACTGAAGCCCGGAAGGTGGTCTTGGCCTGGGGAGTACTGAATGTATCTGTTGCGGGCATGATATATATGGAAATGTACGTTAATTCTTACGTCTCATTTGGACAAGCTACTTTTACATCCCAAAATACTTCCTGAGACCTAATTGTTATAAAATGGCAAATTCTTGGTTTTATTTTCAGGACTGGAAAACTCATAAGCTCGTATTACAACATCACGTGCTGGCCACTCTGGTATATTGGTGAGTCGCTGCAGCATTTCAATTAATTTTTCAGGGTTCTTTTCTTTTTTTCATTTGTCAGTTTTAATGCCAGAGATGTCATTTTTAACCCAGCCTTTGTTTTGGTTTTCCTTTTTTGGTTTGTTTTAAATTTAAACCAAAATTTGGTTCGCTTTCTGTTATCTCCCTTTAAACTGTTGGGACTTCAACAGTTTTAGTGACAAATAAGGAGCTTGATGTATCATGAAAAATAACTTGTTTGATGTGCTAAATCTATTTAATGTGAGGCTTTGGAGAACACCGCAGATTTTACTATGTTGTATTGTGTGCGTGCATGGCATTTCACCATAATTCAGGTTTGTTTCAGATGCGTAGACTCTAAGCTGGCTGTATCAAATACTACTGGAGGGTGAAGAAAGAGGGAGAGAAAAATAATGAGATGAGCGACAGATGATTTGACAGATTTCATTGCAGGAATTATGTCCTTTTTGGAAAATAACTGTCCATTTTAAAAAAATAAATTTTAGCAATATAAATTAATCTCAGTGTAGGAACGAAAATTATCTCCAACACTTCTTGCATAAAAAGATGAAGAAATCTTAGATATTTCCCCAAATTGGTTCTTACTGATAGCACTAATAATGACCTATTTTTGAGGGGCATATGCCTGTTTTTTGCAAATAATATACTTGTATTATTCCCTGTGCTGAAGCTATGGCTGTGTTTCTTCTAGAACTAGCACTTGCATCTCTGTTCAGCCTGAATGCCTTGTTTGATTTCTGGAGGTACTTCAAATACACAGTGGCACCAACGAGCTTGGTCATGACTCCTGCCCAGCAGACCCTGCTGGGGCTGCGGGATGCAGGTCGGTGTCAGAAATATCTGTCTTTTTTTTAATTTATTCTTTTTTGTTTAGAGATGGTGTCTTCCTCAAGTGCAGGAGTCTGTAGTGAAGTGAGTTCTGAATTGCCTCATTTGGTAACGAGAACCAAATTAGAGGGACAGTCAGACCTTTGTGTGAAATCTGAAAATGACAGCCTAGAGAGCAGTCGCTCAGAAAGCTCTTGAACAAAGAGCAAAGTTTTAAAATAAAGCAGAGCCTGCCAAGGTAGATAAACCAAAAGCAAATTAATTCATTGTGCTAAAGATGCCTAAAGGAAGGCGATAGAGTAGCTGATGAAACAGGTTAGAGGAGCCCTCAGGGTTATGCAGGGCACCTGGTAACATTTAACTGAAATCTGAAGCTGTAGGATTTGTAGTGAGTTACAGTCGTGTGTCTCAGTCTTCTCTTTTTTTCCTGTCAGTGGATTGACAGCTGAGTTCTGTAGGGGACAGATTTTTCTAGTGTCCCTCTAGCATCTTTTTAAAATTGCCTTAAGATAGCATTTTGTATGCGGTTGGTTATACATTTAAAGGCGGGAGGAAAGTTTGGGGGTGCTGCATCCGCAATGCTAATTCTCTTTTTATTTGCAGCGGTACAAACAACTCCACCACGTGAGCTGGCAGCAAAGAACGTCGCATGTTCGATGCCTTCTCTGATCCAGGGTCAAAGTGTGCTGAGTTACAGCCCGTCCCGCTCCCCTGGTGCCAGTCCAAAGTTCATGACTACCGGTTGTATCACGGGGTACAGCCCTCAGCTACAGGCTCCGTCCAGCCACAGCGCTTTTTCGGGCAGCGCAGTGACACATTCACCGTGCAGCACCTACAATAAGGTAATGACCGAGAGAGCTCCCCAGGGGACAGTTTGGTCCTTGTGTTGTGCCACATGCCAGCGAAGGTGCGCAGCAGGCAGCGGAGGGTTAGGTATTTGTGTATTTGCTCTTTCTGCAAAGTAGATGTAAACTTGTCATATCGGGATTTATCTTTTTTTCCCTATTGTCACTTCATTTGTTTTAGAGCGGTGAGTTGGTTTCAGAACAAAGCAAAAACAAGAAACTGAAATGTAAATACGAAAGAAAAGGAAAAAACCAACCCAAGCCCCAAACAAGAGTCCTTTATGTTCACGTCGTTTACAAATCAAGGTAGAATTCTGTCTTCCTCATATGACAGGACTGTTTGTTTTTATTCGCCCAAGGTTCCCAGCTTCAGCCCCCCTCCTGGTGGATCACCATACCCCACGAGTATTGGACCCATGGAAACTGGCGGGCTACGGTCTCGTTACTGCTCTTCACCCGTTATGTATAATTCTCCTACCGGGAAAGACGACTATATGACAGACCTCCAGCTGCTGGACATCCTCCTTCGAAACAAAGAGGAGAAGCAGGACAGAGTTCAACTCGGTAAATAAACAAACTGGTTTGATGGGGAAAGCTTGGCAATGAGAAGCTGTTGGGTTTATTCGAGATTGGCTTTTGCGGGTGAGAAAAGTTGCAAAAGATTCCAAGCGTAGTTTATGGTTATCACCTGTGACCTTGGTAAAGGCGGTTGATGAAAATTTTAATCTTCTACCAAGGAATTAGGACGTGAGGTAGAACGACGTCGTTTCTACACATCTCCGCGGCTTAGGAGCTTCAGAAAGTTTTCCTCCAAATATTCCTTTGGATAGGATACATCCTGCAGTTGCAGCGTATGGAAATGGGCGCTGATAGCTTGTCTCTGGTGGTGGACCGTGATAAGATGAGGGGTTTTATCACCATGATGAGGGGGATATCGTGTGGGGAAGGCATTTCAGATAAAGGGGGGGATTTCCCCACGGGCAGTTTCTGTCCTGGATGGAGACAGTCAAGGTGAAGGTGAAATCACTGTTTATGCAGACTGACTTGAGTGTACATATTCATGGTAGTTCGTGTCTCTTTGTCAAAACCTTAATATACTGATGTATTTCCTGGACTGTTATTTCCAGAATTCCTTGGCAATAATTATACATGACTGTTTAATGAATGAATCATTTCAGGAAGTTCAGATTCCAGCTCTCCTTCCAGCAGCCCAACTTTTTGGAACTACAGCCGTCCCATGGCAGACTACACACAGCTGCTGAGAAAGTTCCAGTATCAGCTGGCTTGCAGGTCTCAGGCTCCGTTGGCACACAAGGACGAAGCTGATCTGAGCTCAAGACAGGCTGCAGAAGAGGTAAATTTGGCAGCAAGGTGGTCAGGAGGGAGAAACAGGTCTCAAAAATTTTGCAAAGCTTTGGATTGGAGCTGTATCAAAAATGTTGGAGAGAGATATCTTCTAGCATTTAACCATCTTCATACAGCTTCACTGTAAATGGACTTTTCAGATTCTGAATTTTAGTTGGAAAATTATTTCTACCTTGGAGAGCGAGGCTTACACTGATAAAACACATTTGTGACATAAAAAATGAGTTGAAACTGATAAGTATTTAACCCAGAGGAACAGGTGAGGGATATAAAGCACTGCCTTTATGCTTGCTTCTGAAATAAATCTGATGCGAAGGAGTACAATTCACACGGCTTCAATTAAATTTGATCAATTTTCTTTATTTCCTACATTAACCTAATGAAGCTTCCTATTCAAATACCTCTTAAATCAGTCCTACAGTTCAGATCAATTTTATCCTCATAGAGCAGAAAGCTTAAAACTGAACTTGGGCTCATGCATGATGATTGTACCGTGAGTGGAGAGCGGGAGTGTTGTATGCGAAGCTGCTGCAGAAGTCGCAGAATGTGGGGAAAAACGCGATTTGAATTATGTGCTGTAGTTAGTATCGGAAATTATGATAAACCCTAAAATCTCTTGGAATTCTGTTCTTAAATGTACTTAATAAACCTTTCCGTAGATTTGGGCACGGGTGACAATGAACCGCCAGCTCCTTCATCACATGGATTCCTGGACTGCTAAGTTCAGAAACGTAAGTCCTGTCCCTAAGGTCTGCCTGGTTTTTAGGAGCAAGCTCAGCGGAGTGGAAAACTGACTCCGTGTTCCCTGGAAGCCAAAGGAGGTGGGGAGAATTCCAGGGTCTGAGGATTGGGGTGGGCTGGAGGAGATAAAAATGCAGCATGCTTGAGGAGAGGAGCGTTTTCAACCTGACCTCAGTGGTTTGTATTCTGCAAACTTCACAGTTGTAAAGTTCATCCACCTTGGAATGAGAAACAAAAGCATCTCAGATCCGATAAGATTTGGTTTTCCTTGCTGTAATTCAGATGGCTAAATTTCTGCACTATTTCAAACTCATTCTCCTGGGCTCAAAAGCATGGAAAATTCCAACCCAAAGGTTGATTTTTTTTTTTTCCTGACAGTCCTGAGCAACATAATAAAAAGCAAAAAGATAAACCTTGATCTTAGCAATAGCAATTGCTAGAGCAGAGGAGACTTAGTTACACAAAACGGCAAAATAATTAGTGAATCAGCTTTGAATTGCCCCTTCAGTCATAGCATCTATCCAGGTGTATGGGTTTGGGTTTTTTTTAAAAGTAATAACATAAATGAAAAGCAAAGATTTGTATGAGATCCATACCAGATTCCTGAGCATCTGTTCCCAAGTCCTGTCACGTACAAATCCCACACGTCGCATTTATCAGCTACTTGATTTCCTGCAACAAATATGAGAGGGAGTGAACCCATCAAAGAATAAATTATCTTTATGGTTGGAGGGCTCGGCTTCGTAATACCCCTTTCCCCATTGTTCCGAAAAGCTTTATCTGATACTTTCTGGAGATTTGTTTTCCTGGCTCCTTTCCATTGAATTTTCTGGCCTTTTAGAAGGTATTAAAGAGTCATTTAAACTCCACCTAACGTGATATTCTGGTTTAATTACTTTCCTCCTTGCTTGGCTTCGGTGTTTCTGTTGTTCATCTGCTTTGTGATTGTAAATGATGCTTAGCAGGATGTAAGATAAGGGTTGGGGTTTTTTTTAACATTTTCGTTGCTTCTGACCTCTTGAATTTTCCCCTTTTTCTTTCCTAGTGGATTAGTGACACGATTCTAGTGCCTCTTGTCCAAGAGATCGAGTCTGTGAGCACTCAGCTGAGGAGAATGGGATGTCCAGAACTGCAGATCGGAGGTAGGAGGAGGCAGTAGTTTTGGGGTTCCTTCAACCATGAAGGGCCACTCCACAGCTGGGGAGTTGTGTAGGTGTTCTATAAATTACTGTTCCATTTCTGCTCTATATTGGTCTGGTCTTTGTTCCATGTCATACATGGAACATGTTTCTTCATAGGACTTCTGGAAATATTGATCAAGTCACACTGATGCCTATCTCATATGAATTCATAAACCTCTTCTTTATTTCTTTTTTTTCCTTTTTTTTTTCTTTTTTTTTCTTTTTTCCCCCCTCCCTAAACTTACTGCTGGGGAATTACAGGCTCAAATTATCATTGATTATCGCATAATATTTCAGAAATTGTCAGAAAATATTTCAAGGATAGATGTGCTACAAATGCTCGGTGTCTCCCTATAAACTCTCAGTGGCTCCAGTCCTTTGTGCTTTTCCAAATTCTTCCTTAAAATCATCTGCTTTCTGAAATAACTTTTTTTTTTTTTATTTTGATGAGCTGGAGTTGTGCTTTTCGTGTCACCCTACAATTCTGAAGGAACCATTCCTTTTAAGCTGAAAGAGGGGAGATTGAGACGAGATACTGGGAAGAAATGTTTTCCTGTGCGGGGGGTGAGGCAGTGGCCCAGGGTGCCCAGAGAAGCTGTGGATGCCCCATCCCTGGAGGGGTTCAAGGCCAGGCTGGATGAGGCTTTGGGCAACCTGGGCTGGTGGGAGGTGTCCCTGCCCATGGCAGGGGGTGGCACTGGGTGGGCTTTAAGGTCCCTTCCCACCCAAACCATCCTGGTATTCTGTGATTCTATGTTCTGGCTCTTGTTGTGTTGCAGAAGCCAGCATCAGCAGCCTGAAGCAGGCAGCGCTCGTTAAAGCTCCGCTCATTCCAACCCTCAACACTATCGTGCAGTATTTGGATCTTACACCAAGCCAGGAGTATTTGGTCGAAAGGATCAGAGGTACGTGGTGTCACCATCCTGCCTCGAAAACACTTCCATTTCCCCAGGGAAGCTTTGGTGGCATCAGATGTTGCTCCAGTGGAGATGTTTGAGGAGTTGCAGCAGGGATGGGAGCTGCTTTTAAGCAGGAGAGATGTTTCTTTGCAACTTTCTCTTTTTAGAGCGATATAATGATGCAGGACTTGGATGTAACTTCAGGAATGTTTTTGAAAAGCTTTATTTCTCATTTTCCTTCTGCGTGGTTGGGGCACAAAGTTTAATCCCGTCATTAACTCCAAATAAAAATCATCCCATAAATTTACCTCCCCATATTAATGTCTTTACAAGCATTTCATTAGTTGATTTTTTTCCTGTTTTGTACACCAGAAACATGTATGAAACCCCTGAAACTAGTATAAAATCCCACTTTCCTACACTTTCAACCCCCAGTAACTGAATAAATCTTGTTGCTTTCAGAGCTTTCCCAGGGAGGATGCATGAGTTCCTTCCAGTGGAACGGAGGAGGGGATTTCAAAGGCCGCAAGTGGGACACCGACTTGCCCACTGACTCCTCTGTAAGTTTTTAAAGACGTTTTGATACGACGGCTTAAAGCGAGTTACTTTGCATCGCTCACACGGATAATCCTGTTCTGCTCGGTGAGATTACCTGGGGAATAACGCAAATGGGATTGGACATTGCGAAGATCACAAAAATATAATCTCAGTTTAGTCTTGGGCTGGGCTTTTACTTAGACTCCCCTGAAATATCTGTCAGCTAACTACGGGGAGCAGCCTGACAGGCTTGTTGGGGCAGTTCTCTTGCTATATTTTTTTAAAAAGTAAAATGTCTGCCTTCGCCTGACAGTCTCTAATGCAAGGAAAAGCTTTCACCGTGCTCTCATTTTTCAAAAAAAGGAAAAAAAATGCAGATGGAGTGGCAGGACTGCTGTTTAATCTGGTAAATATTTTGTGAGAAATCTGAAGATGTTGCGTATCCTGCTTGAGAGAAGCCTTGTAGGGACGCTTTGCCCCTTAATATGAGAGGTCAGGAGGGACAGCACCTCAGTGTAAAGTTGAAAATTCAGCTGAGGTGATGAAAATCATTAAAAGAAAGATCACAGAACAATTCAGGGAGTAGAAAACAGGTTTTACAGTGTGAGTCTTCAGCTGAACTCCATCTGAAGTAGAGTTGGGTGATTTTTTTATTTTATTTTTTTATTCCTCTCCTCACTGTAAATAGATTTTCAGTTACTTGGGAGAATAAAAACCAGGAGGTCTGAATGCCAGAGCTTCACAACCTTGCTGACAAAGATGTAACGAGATTCAGTTGCTGGAAGCTGAAGTTGTATGAAATCAGTCCTGAAATGGGATTTAATTTTCTGTTTGTGAAGCTGATTCAATATTTGGTAGCGACTGGCCACGCAGCTGCTCTTAGGGTCTTGAGAGAAGTGTTTAAAGATCATGAGACCCAGCAGCACACCCTGGAATTCGGTCTTTTATTTCGGAGAGGTGCTGTTGGTCAGTTTATTAAACTTTTAAGAATTCTAGGAAAGAAGTTCTGATAGAAGAGCTTAATATAAACACTTGCTGTGAAATTTTGATATTAACTTCCTCAAGACAATTACTATTTAAAAAAAAAAAAAAATCACATTTTTGTTAATCACTGCGGGTAAAACAAAGCAGCGATTTCCAAGTTGCATCTCCCAAACTTCTTGAGACTTTTGGCATTTAGCCCAGAGAAACTTTTATTTTGTGTACAAAACAGATCCTGCTGTATATAATGAAAACAGAAGGCACAGATAATTCGGTGACATTGCCCACAGAAAATGTTGAGAACTCTCCAGGAAGGGTTTAAAACACAAACAGGCTGTGGCGTGGTTTTCTGGATACTCGTTCTAGGACTTTTATTTCAAAATTTTGACGTTCTTAATAAGACTCGTGGCTTTTCCAGAGGTTTATATTTTGCTATTTGTGAGAAGAAAGTAGAAATTTGCTCGATAGGTGTGAAACCAAAGCTGCAATTTGATTTCATCTGCCCTTCTCAGCCACATCTCCGCCTAAATACGCTGAGTAAGATCTGCGACTTTGCCAAATTCTGCAAGATGCCAGGAGAAAGTCGCTTGTGTGTGAACTGAGCTCCCGACGTGCAGCATCAGTTTATCGCCTTGTGACTGATGCTGGAAAAAAATAATCTTGTCTTCACCCCGGCAGTGTGCCTGGACTGTCAAAATCTCCGCTGAGATAAAAAAAAAAAAGCGGCCGTGTTTTTAAGAACACTAAAATGAGATTATTTTTTTTTCTTTGCCCAGATCATTATGCACGTCTTCTGCACTTACCTCGACTCCAGGCTCCCACCTCACCCCAAATATCCCGACGGCAAAACCTTCACTTCCCAACACTTCTTTCAGACACCAGATAAACCAGGTACCGACGCTCGCGTTTAGCTGCTCTTCTCTCGGATCCTGCCAGTGCCCTTAAAACCCCCGTTTATCTTATAACTTTTAACTTTTGCAGACATTTCAAATGAAAACGTTTTCTGCATCTACCAAAGCAGCATCAATCCGCCCCACTACGAGCTGATCTACCAGCGCTATGTCGACAGCCTCCCCAAGGTACGATGGCGTTAGTTGGGAAATTGTTGGCAGCTGTACTTTTTTTTTTTGTTTTTACATCCTGGCCCCATTTTTTGACTATTTACACAGAAGGAAGTAAACACTAGCTTGGTCTTTTAGTCTGCTACTAAGTAGTACCTTTAGTATCTATTTAAAATACGTAAGTACCTTGGTAGTAGCTTCCTCTTGTTTATTTTCTGAGAATTTATTTTAAAATGTAATCTCTGATGTCCGTTGTCGCCCCTTAAAGCCCACAAGCCCCGTGCTCATCTGTAGGAATTCTGAGGGGAAGCTTCCAGACTCAAAACCCTGACATTCTCCTGTGAATTTTTGATTTTATCTCTGCTTTCCGAAAAGCTCCGGAATTTAAAGTATTTGGAGATGATAATCCAGCCAAAACCCACATTTGGTCTTTTTTCTGATATTTTTAATTAAAAAAAAATATTGAGGCAAAAAGCCCGAGAAGCCTCCCCGTACGGCACTTCGTGACTGTGATTTCACATCCGTGACTTGATTTCTGAATTCTTCTCTTTTCCTGTGGGTTCAGGGCAGAAACAACATGTTCCACACCTTGCTTATGTTTCTCTACATCATAAAGACAAGAGAATCTGGGATGCTCGGGTAAGTTAGTCATTTTCTCGTTGGAAACAATGGCAATTTTTTCATAAAATTGGATAAATCTTACATCCACGAACAATAAAAAAAAAAGAATATCCAGATTCCCCTTCTTCATGGCAAAGCACGATACCTGCCTGCGAGTTAAAAAGCCAAAATGGGGAATTTTTAGATTAATTTTAGAAAAATTTACACATTTTTCGTGTAGTGTTTTAACCGGGCGCTCTAATTTCCATGTGATTTATCGTGACAACTTTTGGGTTTTTTTCAGGCGTGTAAATCTCGGTTTATCGGGCGTCAACGTTCTGTGGATTTTTGGAGATTAACATCTCCAGCAGGACGATGCTCTGCTGGCGAGACGGACTGAGCAGCATCGTTAGGTTCTTGATTTAAACACGGACTAATTTCAGGCATGAGAAAAGCAGAGTCAAAAAGCTGAGACTCATGGTGGTTCGTTTTATTCTGTATGATAAGAAAAAACTTTTTTTGTTTGTTTTTTTTTTTAAATCTCTGGTTACTGGCTGAATTGGCTTTTTAGACCCCACGAGATGTGTTGGGAGCCTGCGCTGTGGGCATGAAGGAACAAAAAAACTGTGTTGGACTTGCTGCTTTCATAAATAAGATTTTTATTTTAATTTTTTTTATTCTTTTCATTTTTATTTTTATTTTTTTGAACAAAAGCAGCCTGCCATCTGACTTGGGCAGTCTTGCAAGCTCTGAAATACCGGCTGCCTTCACTACAACCCCAGCGTTACCCTGCCTTTGCTTCTTTCTTTTATTTTTACTGCTCCCATCATTTTTTTTTATGCTCACAACCTCAGATTTTGGAAGCCTCACGGACTGACCAGGCTCTACAAACCCACGGACAAACTTCTTAAATCCCAGCTTTCGGGGGGAAAAAAAACCCAACCAACCACTTGGATTTGTTTCAAAGAAGGGATTGTTCAAACATTTGCCAAAAAACTTTTTATATAAGAGGAGGGGAAGAATCTGTTGTAAGTTCTGTTGAATTTTAGGATTTTAGATGTGTATATAGTTAATTGTTTTATTTTTTTAGAGGGGGGTAAAAATTCCTAAACCTTGAGATGCTGAAGATCTTTGTGAGTCTTATTGGTGTGTTTCCCCTTGCTGTTGTCAAAAAAAAAAACGCTTCTACCT